AAAAAACATATTTTATACTTTTTCAAAACCAAAAATGCAATTTCACAAAAAAGAAAACAGTTTGAGAAGTCTAACTGTATTTCATCTGAAGTGGAGCTTCATATACTCACATGCTCATATAAATGCAGAGCTCCATTGTGTCCTCAAAGAACAATGTGAAACGCTGGCAGGAAGAGAGAATCCACTGAGACAGGCATGGATGAAGAGAGGATAATGGGTTGGACATGCAACTCTAAATCACTGGATGCAAATCAACTGAGCACCTGCTTGGCCTGAACGAGCACATTAAGACGTAAACACAGGGCTGGATATGGGCTCTCAGTTCTCTGTTACACTGTACTACACCTGCAGTGCTGATGAAATCAAACACATTCTGATTTAAACAATACAACTACCACTTTACAGTTTGTTCACAACCATTAAAGCAGCTAAATGACTTTAAACACATCAGATATTCCCTGAAAACACTGACAAACTGTGAAACATTGAGATTAATCGAAGGTTATCATGAGAGATAATCAGGTGTAAATTGTTACTGAAATTAAATTCTCTTGCACCACCATGTAGATGCTAAATTTAACACTTTAACCCTGTTGGTGTTTAAATAACCGTCGAAAGAGACCTTGCAGTTTTCTATTTTCTGCCACTGAGACATTTTCAAGGCCTCAACACAAAGTCAGGCTTCTTGATGTGAGCAGCAGAACTGTGTGTGTGAAACAGCTGTTTCAGCCCAGGTGCAGTCTGCTCAGCTCTCCAGTCTCAGGCACAATTTACACCATAACTCTTGGCAGATAATTCGTAGCTCGCCAGATGAGGACCATTAAAAGTGGATGGGTTTTAAACTGGAACTGTAATTTCCCCCTCACACTGGTGCATTCTTGTTATTAACAGATATTTCTCAGTCTGTGGTTTTATTCCACACAAAGACTCATGTGGATTTTAAAAAGAAAAGGCTGCATAATATAAGTATGTATGACTGTAGTGAGTTGAAAATCCTTCCCTGTAGCCTGCATCCAAGTCATATCACACATGTGTGTTGTTAACAACAGCTGGAACAATGTTGTGGACATATTGTACAAACACAATAACAGTAATTATGCCAGGAGACGAAATCACCGCAGCGGCTCAGCTACGAGCCCAATGCATTAATTTGTTTAGAGGATGACATGGGTAACAAGAGCCCATTCCTGCCGGACTCCATTAATCCTGTCTGGGTTTGGAGGTTGTGGGGCGCATTGCTCTTGCTCATCCCTGTGATGTGCTCGAAAACATTCATTGCGCTTCACGCTGGGAGATGCCGAATTTCCTGCCATTCCCAGATGTCCCGGGCAGATGTTCTCAGAGGAGTCTTTCAAAGGAAAATTTATTTGCCTGAGAAAGCTGTGCTGGTGTTTGCCGTTGCTCACACGTCTGTGTAAAAGTTGGCGCAAATCGTTCATCGTAAAAGTCCGAAACACAGCAAAGATTAGACACAGCCAAAAAGCCAAATGGAAATGAAAGA